ACAGCCTGGGTGTGAATCTACAGTCAATAGTCATGAAAAGAAAGGAAACTCATTGAATGAGAAAGTGTGTCCAAACCTTTGTTCTGTACTGTATGTGTGTAATTATAATTACAGTGAGGCCCACAAGTATTTGCACACCCTGCACATTCTCCCACTTAGATTACTTAACATTTAAGACCCTTCCCTAATTTCTAAGTAAGTAATTTGTGTCCTACTCCACACAGAGAGCGGGGTCGCCAGTACAGGACGCGTATGTCAGACCTATTGTAAATGTTTTTAGCGGTAGGGGAAACTGGAGCACCGGGAGGAAACCTATGCAGACACGGGGAGAACATGCAAACTCCAGGCCCTGTTCCGACCGGGATTTGAACCCAGGACCTTCTTGCTGAGAAGTGAGAGTGCCATCTACTCAGCCATTGTGTTCATCATATATGTATCTCCACTGTTAGAGATATAATCTAAAAAGAAAAAATCGGAAATCACTGTTTTAAAAAAAATTACTTATTAGTATGTTACTGTAAATACCTATGTATTTGCACAGATGAGCATGTCAGTGTTAAGTGGACAAAAAGCCAGTAAGAACACACCATTGCCAGGTGTTGCAGAGACTACATTTTCTTAGTTTTGATAATTTTATTAAATTCTGTAATTGTAAATTATTGTACAAATGTTTGCACAGTCGAGCCCCTGCTGTCCTGAGTGTGTCATAGTTCCTCTGAGATCACACGGGGCTCCTCTAACGGGAATGTGAAAGTGCCCCTCAGGAGAACCACATTAAGACAGTCAGTCTTCTCGATCCAGGGGGCAAAGCTCTGGAACTCTTTAAGCCCTCAGCTAAAACTGAACTCTGACTGGGCTGGTTTTAAACATGAACTAAAGCGATTTTTTAAAACAAACCAGGTGTGTGAGCATTAATGAGTTGGAGAACATCTGCTTTTCTATAATGTGAATTTTATAATGTATAATGTGTTTTAATTGTGTTAAAAGCCCTCCTAGGGACGGACATTGCAAACTAGCCTTGGCTATAAATGTTGTAGTGTTTCACATGTTGATTGTGTACACTTGTCCCTATCAAATAAATCAATAAATAAATAAAATAATATCTTGTGCAGAAGCCTTTTTTAGGCCCAAGCCCCGACTGGGGTAAGGGCCTATTGCTTTCACAATGGTGCCAGTCACTCACCAAAACATAACGTTTGCGTGTGAAAAGTCAAACGCTTTAAAATGATGCATCAGGTGCCATTTAGACCTATAATGTTTTTGCTCAAAGACTTTTGAAAAAAAAAACGTCTTTCTTTTTTCTTCTGCGATTTGACCCCCTGAACATGCATGAAAACTTGCTAATTTTTGCCCAAAAATCTTTTTTTTTGGCGTTCATTTTTTTCAAAAAAATGCCAGAACAGTGCCCCCTACAACAGCCAATTTATTACGCCTATGGGAGTTGAGCCACATAATTTGGAACACATGTTTTTCAGGTCATGACATGAAAAAAAATGTTATGGCCACGCCCCCTGACAAACAGGAAGGCCATAAATTTCATTGCAAAATGGAAACGGATCCTTTTCACACGTCGAGTTGGAAAGCAACTCCTCCTCGGCCGTTTCACCGATTTGCCTCAAAATCGCTCCACATCGTCTAAACACATGTACCATCAAAATGCGACCTTTTTTTGCCATTTTTGACAAGCAAATTTGCTCCCGTTTGCACATACAAAGTCTACTTGCACAAAACTTTAATCCATTGTTCAACTCCAGGGTCTAGGTCATGTGAAAGTGAAATAATTGAAATTGGCCCATTAGCACCCCCTACAGACTATGTCAACGTTTTACAAGGGGTTAATCACATTTAGTTTTTTCAAAATGTTTGAAATTTGGCACATAATTTTGTTTTGCCCCCTTGATTCAAAAAGGCAATGACACCCAAGACTTTTTTTTAACCCTGTTGCCGTGGCAACGACAAACGCTCCCCATTCTTTGTCAACGGGAAATGTACACCTCGTAAGAACATCAAACCAGTCTTGGCCGTTTCACCTATTTGGCTGAAAATCGCTCCACATCATCTCAACACATGTACCGTCAATAGTTGTTAGTAGAATTTTGATTAGTCACATGGTCATCCAATGGACTGTATACAAAATATGGACACACTCACAGATTATACATGTGCTCTGGTTTACACATACAAAGTCTGATTTGTGCTAAACTTGACTCGGTTGTTAAACTCCTGGGACTAGGTCACCTGAAGGTGTGAAAAATTACATTGGCTCTCTGAGCCAAAGTTTTACATGGGGAGCCAAACCAACTGATCATGTTCATTACAATTTTACGAACGTTGTTCTAGGGCTACGGGAGCAAATAATGGCGCAGCGGCGCCCCCAACTTTGCACGGTGCGGCTAGAGCAGTTTAATTTGCAATTACTTTTTTTATCCTGAGTGATGCCCCACGAGAAGAGATCTTTCATGGAACGCCAGTCCGAGGTAGATCAGCAGTCATGTTTAGCCTCTTCCATTTTTTAACCAACTGCTGCAATAGTTGATCTAACCATCTACCATGGAAGCAGTTAGACCTAGATAGACTGTGGGCTGCACAGGCGACTTTAATGAGCTCAAAAGGGTGGTGGGTGGGTGATTAATTGTCGGGCAAAGGTGGACTTTTTTTTTTTAAGGTGAACCGTCAGCTCTTTGATGGTTATAATTCTGGCTGATTCTCACGTGTGCAAATACTTGTGAACCCGAGCAACATACAAATATATAATAAAAATACATAGAATATGATTTCCAAATTTTTCTTTTTAGACAATGTCTCTATCAGTGGAAATACATCTATGATGAACATTTCAGACCTGTCCCTAATTTATAATAATATTTTCAAGGCAAGACATTACATTAGTACTTAGAAATATATGTATAAAGAAATCATTATTGTGGCTGTCATTAATAATATAATTTTTTAGAACTTAAAAACCAATAAAAACAAAATAGTACAGCCATTGATATTGACAGCAAAAATGGAGAACTATTAATTGACATAATTTTGACTCGTTTTGGAGCACATTCAGGGGCTGGGGGCCATTTTGACCTATAAATGAATTAATATCTCAAAACTTAAGTGGCACAAACTGAGCGAAAACAATTTATATAGTTTTTTGTGAGGATGCACAAATCATGAGGGGTCGGGGCATGAAAGAAACATTTTTACATTTTGCAGCGGGGCTGTGGACTTCACAAAAATATTCTGTCAATGATTTTCAGCCTGTAGGTTAGTAAAATAATGTATAGGCGAGACCCGATTGATGGACTGAACATCTCAACAGAACACGGTCTAGAGGGAGCGAGCGGCCCCTGTCTTTGCTTTGCACTGAGCCTCTCAGTGAAAATAAATATATGCGCACAGTTACATGATTGAATCTGTGTTTTTACTTTTGACTAAATATTGAAAATTTACCATGGTAAAGCCTTTTGAAATATCGTTTGTTAGTGTGTCCCAATACTATGCATAATTAGGTACTGTTTTAACTTAACCATCCTTTTATTTTCTTCGACTTTGTCCGTATCTGGGTCAGGGGGGTGGCAATCAGCTGCCACCCAATGCACTAAGCACCAGCCCCTCACTGATCCTCCTGCAGGTGGTGAGTCCACAGGAGGACGGCTGCTGTGTCACAGCCTTGATCTTTTATCGGGAGCTTCAGGCAAAGTGGGGTTAAGTGTCTTGCCCAAGGACACAGACAGCTGACATCAGTGGGAGTCAGTGGAGAAGGTCTTGTGCTGGGCTTGAACCCACAACCTTCAGGCTCAAAGGCCAATGCTCTACTAACTGAGCTCCAACTTAACCTTGTTGTTTTAACTTAACCTTCCTCTTGAAACAACTAGATTGGTGCATCCCTACTTGTAAACAACAAAAACATTTAGCCAACCAAACATACGGACATGTGGTATTAGCACAACTTTCAAGAATATGATCAAAAGTCTGTGCTCATTGGCGCATGCCTACACCATGAACGTCCCAAAGATGCAGGTTCCCTGTCAGAAGAAGTCTAGCAGTTTTATTTAACATTGGGGTCTATGAACATTTTCTAAACAGCCCATGTCAATTTAAGCTGCAGAATGCAGGTGGCCCATTGCCCATGCTGAAGACGGATTAAAGCTAGCTCAAAGTTTCTGTGTGCGTGAATCCAGGACAGTTGTTGAGCCACCCTTTGACAAACAAACCCAGGGAGCCCAAATAAAGTCACTTAGATATTATTTATAGATTGTTCCTATGTACAAATCCAACATTCAGTAAAGTCTAAAACCGAGACTCAAGTCGGCCGCGAGTGTCCGACCCTCAGTGACTTCCCATTTGGGGAGGAGCTCGGCCGGTCCTTTGATTTTAGCAACAGGCAAGAAAGAAAAAAAAACAATTCAGTGCAAGACAAATTATGTGGAATGAACTGCAAGTGTAAACCTCTTTACATCTGAAAGCGTCTCTGGATGCTGTTAAGAAAATGCGTCAAATGTGGTAAAAAAGCATGTCCTATCTATTGTACAATAACTATATGTATAAATAGTTCAAATAAATATGCTTGTCACATTGTCTAAAGGGGAATTTGAGTCATATCTACGAATGTACCGAGTTAATACTGCATAAAATGGGCCGCGTTTTACCATTCCAATGCTGTGAAATGAAAAAGACAGGCTTCTCATAACGTACATATGCAATATGCTCACTCCTAAAAACTTGCAGGAAAATCCTTCTGCCAAAACGCCATCCTTTCAAAACACATTACCAGGGACATCATAAATACCACCAATATTATCAATTTTAAAATTAAGATATCAGATTCTTTCTGTACAGCTTATTTAGTCATCCGTTGGTAATTTCTCCTCCAAAAACATGGCAGCGAGCACCGTCCAATGTTCTCCAGGGTAGTGGGATGGTTCAGAGTGGGTGTCAAAGCATGCAATCCGGGCTCGTCCCCCTCCTCTCTGCTCACAGTACGTGAAAAGGTCTCTGTGTGGGCCCTACACCAGCTGATAGCCCGAGCCAGACGTCTGCTCGTACTCTATGGAAAACTGCGAGGTCCAGTCCACGGGCACAGGCCGCAACAGGCCACAGCAGCGCAGCTCTAAGAAGTCTACCAGGTTCCTCCAGCAGCCATGACTGAGGACAGAAAGAGCAGAGGGGTGAGAAGGACAGAGGGAGCAGAGAGGTGAGTGGGGTAAAGAGGGGTGAGGACGGGCAATGAGAGGTGATAAGGGGGGAGGAGGAGGGGCAGCATTCATATGTCATTCACAAAGCAGTTTCCTCATAGTGATCCAATTCCAATATTCAAACCTGAGTTTAACATCAGACAGAGATTTAAATCTGCCTCTGATAATAAATACTCTGTGTGACCAATTCGACAGGACAAATGTCTCTTATACAGTAGTTAGTTGAGGAGCTTCTCAAAGCCTAGATTAACCTACACATGCAGTATACAAGGAGCCTCTCAAAGCTCCGTGGAGACTAATGTACACATATGTGATGCTATCTGGGAAAACCCGTCGGATGTCGCGCTGGCACATTTCAAGAAAATAGTAAAAATAGGACGATTGTCATTTATTTGGCAAAATTGTGTTTTCATTAAATAATTATTATATAACATCTTGTCTTTACATTTTGAAAATATCTAGGTGAAATTCATTAGTTTTATGTATTAAAAATTGTGATATGTTTTGATAAACCGAACGTTAACGTTACATCCTCCGCTCTGACCCCGGGAGCAGCTGCGGCCGCTTTGATAACAGCTGCTTTGGTAACAGCTGCTTTGGTAACAGCCGCTTTGGTAACAGCCGCTTTGGTAACAGCCGCTTTGTAACAGCTGCTTTGGTAACAGCCGCTTTGGTAACAGCCGCTTTGGTAACAGCCGCTTTGGTAACAGCCGCTTTGGTAACAGCCGCTTTGGTAACAGCCGCTTTGGTAACAGCCGCTTTGGTAACAGCCGCTTTGTAACAGCTGCTTTGGTAACAGCCGCTTTGGTAACAGCCGCTTTGGTAACAGCCGCTTTGGTAACAGCCGCTTTGGTAACAGCCGCTTTGGTAACAGCCGCTTTGGTAACAGCCGCTTTGGTAACAGCCGCTTTGGTAACAGCCGCTTTGGTAACAGCCGCTTTGGTAACAGCCGCTTTGGTAACAGCCGCTTTGGTAACAGCCCGCTTTGTAACAGCTGCTTTGGTAACAGCCGCTTTGGTAACAGCCGCTTTGTAACAGCTGCTTTGGTAACAGCCGCTTTGGTAACAGCCGCTTTGGTAACAGCCGCTTTGGTAACAGCCGCTTTGGTAACAGCCGCTTTGGTAACAGCCGCTTTGGTAACAGCCGCTTTGGTAACAGCCGCTTTGGTAACAGCCGCTTTGGTAACAGCCGCTTTGGTAACAGCCGCTTTGGTAACAGCTCAGTGAACAGCTGTAACAAGCCTCTGAGCGCGGACCATAAACACGCGGACAGGACCATAAACACGTGGACAGGACCATAGACACACGCGGACAGAACCATTGACACGCGTTCAGGTCCATCCCCAGCTTGTTGCAAGTCCAGGTCTCCCCCGTGTCTCCCATCTAGGGGTGGGAACCTCAGGGTACCTCACGAAACGATAATATCACAATAACAATTATATCACGATTTATTGGTCAAAAATATACCATATGCCAATTTGTGGCATAAATAAAAGAAAAAATTTAAGTGAAAAAATTAGGGCTGTCAAACGATAAATTTTTTTTAGTTGATTAATCGCATAGTAATGATGAGTTAACTCACGATTAATCACATTTTTAACATTCTATTTCAAATCCACTCCAATTGAAGTTAAATGAGATTTTCAAATGTAATAACACATTGTTATTCATACCAAATGTACTTAAATCTGTTTGACTTGCTCACAACCTTCTACTTTTGGGTACAACCAACAAGAGCTGTTAACTCATTGACTGCCAGCCCATTTCAAAACAGGTACTCCCATATTGCCAGCCGTTTCTGGTGGTTTTTACTGATTTTTCAAGACCCACAGAATATTGTGTACTTTGACTATCTGAAATCTAAAACTAGATTCTGAAAGAATGGGCTGTCTACTCTCACCAGCAAAAAGAATTTTGTTTCTATCTTGTTTAGTTCTTCTGTAATCCCCAGTTGAGTAGAGGGAAGTTTTATTGAAATCACCAGAAAGCTGAGAAAAAAGGGCCACAAACAGTGCATCTAGCTGTGTTCAAACCATTCATAGCGCAATGCTGCCATCTGCTGGCTCCATAAAGTATTGCCTCAAGCCAATCTCCACATATTAGATTCAATGGACAGCTGGGAACGTAAAAATAGCGGGAAACGCAATTGACGTGTTAACACGTCATTGGCAGACAACGTTACTATTTAGTTTGACGTGTTAACAATGGCAGGCATTTCAGCGTGTCTCCTCCTCTCCTCCATCATCAGAGAACATCAGAGAATGGCCCCTGTGCGTGTATATATATGACCACGTTACCGCTGTCACCATCACACACGCACGTGTCCGCGGCATTCTGAGTGATATTATTATAAATGGGCGGGTCATTCGGACATGCGATTGACTGCCAGCCTATTTCAGAACAGGTACCCACAGAATATTGTGTACAATGACTATCTGAAATCCAAAACCAGATTCTGAAAGAATGGACTGTCTACTTTCATCAGCAAAAATAATTTTGTTTCTAGCTTGTTTCGTTCCCCTGTAATCCCCAGTCGAGTAGAGGTAAGTTTTATTGAAATCACCAGAAAGTGCATCTAGCTGTTTTCAACCCATTCATAGAGCAATGCTGCCATCTGCTGGCTCGATAAAATATTGCCTCAAGCCTTACATATTTGATACAACAGACATCTGGGAACGTGAAAATAGCGGGAAACGAATGGCAGTTAATGCGTTAATTATTTTTTTACGCGTTAATGAAAACGGTAATTAACGTGAATTAACACGATAATTTTGACAGCCGTAGAAAAAATACAACTTATTTCATGATAAATGGAATGGAGATGTGTAATGTAGTCATACATTAAGTATTGATACTAATTGAAAAAATAAATAAATTGGTAAATGCATATCGATAATCGATCGCGGGAGAAAGTATCACGATATATTGTCACACTCCTACTCCTACCTATGCGCAACCAAAACTCACGAAATTAAAGCTCGGGAATCTAATTTTCCCGTTGCAATAAAAATACATGTTGGTTGTTTGTGGATATTTATACTGCGTGATTTGATAATATAATGCATAATTATAGAATAAGATAAGATAAACCTTTATTTTATTTATTAAAACTGGCATTGTCTAATACATCTATAATGTACAGTAACTTTTAAAGAGAAAAACACAAAAAAAGGAGGAAAAGTTACGTAAAACAAATTCAATTAATTGAATGTTGAATGAATAAATACATTCTTGATTTTCATCTAAGAGTGTTGTGTGTTTGCACATTTAAAAAAAATCTTTTACAACATAGTGACTAAAATAAGTGTGTGCCATAATAGAGTAATTCAAATTTAACATGTTATATTTGATTGTGGTGATTCTATTTAGAATGTATCTAAAGGTATCTTTAAACCGGTTTTTCTCAAAATTCCGTTTCTTAAAACCATGTTGATAAGCTGAACTCAGATAATGATAAAACATTTTACAGACATGCTATGAAAAAAAGGAAAACCGATTTGAAAAGAGATTGAAAGCAGCTTTAAGATGGTATCAGAATCTTAAGTTGGTCAAATTTCACCATATGATGGGTTTTCACATGAGACTCAGCAGTTCACTCACTTGAACGGACTCTCGATGGACGTGGCTGTAACTTTAAAGTGCTTGTATCGTCGAGCATTCATTCTCTCGTTGGTTGTGATTCCCAGAGCTGCAATCTGAGTGGAACACCAAAAATCAACACCTTATAATGTACTCAAGTCCAGCTATATAGCTCTGCACACTGCCACGTTCCACAATCTTAACCCATGACTGTGCGTTATTTAAAAAACATATGAAACTTTATTAATATAAAAGGAGAGTTATGATTCACACCTGGTAGAGCTGACACATGATCAGAACAGCAACCCACATGAAGTGAAAGAGGCTGTTGAGGAACATCCAGAACATCCAGGGCGAGCAGGAGGCAATCTGGGTCAGGTAGAGCCAGAAGCCGTCTTTGGAGTATGTGGTGCCGCAGTGGACCCGCCAGTCTGTGTTTCAAACTTTGTATTTCAGTATTTCAAAAGCACATAGTGAAATCACAGTGTTTAGGACTCACAGCAAATGCAGCCATAAATCATCCAGCAGATCATACAGAGCAGGAAGAACAGGTAGCCCATGAAGTAGCGATGGTTCCCACTCCCTGAAATAACATTGCAGCAGTGTTTGTGTTCAGCCTCTGCCTTAAACATCACCTTTCCAATTTTCACTTTACATTTAATGATTTAGAATGTGAAAAGACATCTTAACTGAATTAGGTATAAAAACCCTAGTAAAACATATTGCTCACTTTAGAATCACACCCAAAAACCTTAAGTTTTCCTTAAATTCAACGTCTATAAACATCAATCCCAAAAAATTGAGAGCTGACATCTGTGACTTTCAATTGTAAGCCTTTAGTGGAATAATATGTTTTTTCTGTGGCTTTTTATGGGGTGCAGCGCTGGTCTGCTGCCTTGACCCTCCACATGTTTCCTGTCAGCTCTAGAGACAGCTTTACTGCTAAAACCGCATCCAAATAAAGCCTTTCCCTGGCTGTATTCCTCCGCGCCTCGCATCGCCTCTCCCACCTACACCCAGCGCTCAGACAATTACCTTGGACCAGTCACCCCCGGAGCGCTGCTGCCACCTGCTGGCTCAATAAAACACTGTCTATAGCATGGATCTATAATAATATCTAGATAAGGTATTAATAGCTTATGTGGTAAGCGGGTACCCCCTGTGCCCAATGCGCCTGCGGTACTGCACACAAAATTAACATGGGCTACCCAGAAAAATTTCCCATAGAAGTCAATGTAAAATAAAACAGCTCAACCTCAGCTGACAGAGAACCTAAGGCCAGATTTTGTGGGGATTTTAGTGTCCCTTGTTATGCTGAACTTTTTCTCCTGTTAAATCGTTCGGGTTTCTATAAATCCACACTTTAATGGAACAATCTCTGCTCGTCCACTGCGCAGAACCGGGAGGACCAGACAATGCCCAAATATGGACGAGTTCTGCTAATCTTTCGGTCCCAATGTCCCATGCGCTTATGAGAAAAATATAGTGTTTTTTTTTTTCAATTTACGTATTAATTATTTGTCTTACTCAGTATAAGATATGAGAAATATTATATCAAACAAGAGCTTTTTGAGGTCGTTTTTGGTTTTTCACTGACCCACACAGTTGCCGACCCAGGGACAGTGGTGGTCGAACTTGGCGATACAGCGATTACAAACTGCACAGTGTTTGGATCTGATGGGCTTCCGTATCTGACGGAAAAAAAAGCAATTAAATACAGTTGAAATTAAATCTGAAAGAAACTTTAAAAAAAGGGAATATTACCAAGCAGGTGCTGCAGAATATACTGAGGTCCAAGCTTCCTGTCTCTGCCAACTCCACAATGGTCTGAAATGAAGAATAACACGGTAACACATATGGCTATAGTAGATTGTACAGTGGGACAGAGTCTAATATATTTTCTACCATTATTTCAGGTAAGTAGACTGCCTGAGATTCAACGATGGTATCACTGACAGGTCTTTAAACTTCTGGTATGTATAACTGATCAGGTAGCGATACAGTCTCAAGTTTTGTCAGTGGCAAAGGACAATTCAGGAGCAACAGTGGGTGTTTATAGCTCTTTGACCAGTGTGTGACAGAAAGCAGCTTTTTGTCTTAGACAAAACGCTGAGAAAATGAGGTGTTTGTAAAAACAGACACACCATGCAGAAGTGATTGTAACCCTATTAAGCTTAACTTTAGTCTCATACATGTCCAGTATCTTACATGCTAGAAAAATGTAGGAGAAAGTATTTTTGATGCAAAATAGTAAGTATTACGCACACACACACATCAAAAAAGTACTACTTCAAAAAACGTAAAAATGTAGAGCCCATGAAAAACTATGGCAGAAAGAACGGCCAGTATTCTTTCATTAGGTGGCGCTATATTTATGTCAATAACAGTAAGTCACAGAATAACAAAATTACAATGATAAACAATATCAATGACAAACCAATGTGAACAGACTATATACCTAGTATAAGTGCAATAGAATACTGTTGTGTGTCTTTGTGTGTTTATGCAAGCATGGATGTGCGTTTATTTGCGCTTTGTATGTGTGTATTTGTGTGGTCTGGTCTGCTGCCCCGACCCTCCACATGGTCTCTGTCAGCTCTAGAAACACCTTTATTGCTTAAACGGCCTCCAAATGAAGCCTGTCCCTGGCCCTATACCTCCTGCCTCCGTCACCTCTGTCTCTCCTGCTCACAGCACTCAGACTCTAACAATTGACCAAGACATCCACCGAACCCTCACTTTATATTATTACAGTGCCTTGTGAAGGTATTCGGCCCCCTTGAACCTTTCAACATTTCGCCACATTTCAGGCTTCATACATAAAGATATAAAAATCAATTTTTTTGTCAAGAATCAGCAACAAGTGGGACACAATCGTGAAGTGGAACGAAATTTATTGGATAATTTAAACTTTAACAAATAAAAAACTGAAAAGTGGGGCGTGCAATATTATTCGGCCCCCTTGCGCTAATACTTTGTAGCGCCACCTTTTGCTGCAATTACAGCTGCAAGTCGCTTGGGGTATGTCTCTATCAGTTTTGCACATCGAGAGACTGGAATTCTTTCCCATTCTTCTTTGCAAAACAGCTTGAGCTCAGTGAGGTTGGATGGAGAGCGTTTGTGAACAGCAGTCTTCAGCTCTTTCCACAGATTCTCGATTGGATTCAGGTCTGGACTTTGACTTGGCCATTCTAACACCTGGATACGTCTATTTGTGAACCATTCCATTGTAGATTTGGCTTTATGCTTTGGATCATTGTCCTGTTGGAAGATAAATCTCCGTCCCAGTCTCAGGTCTTTTGCAGACTCCAACAGGTTTTCTTCCAGAATGGTCCTGTATTTGGCTCCATACATCTTCATCAATTTTAGCCATCTTCCCTGTCCCTGCTGAAGAAAAGCAGGCCCAAAGCATGATGCTGCCACCACCATGTTTGACAGTGGGGATGGTGTGTTCAGGGTGATGAGCTGTGTTGCTCTTACGCCAAACATATCGTTTTGCATTGTGGCCAAAAAGTTCGATTTTGGTTTCATCTGACCAGAGCACCTTCTTCCACATGTTTGGTGTGTCTCCCAGGTGGCTTGTGGCAAACTTTAAACAAGACTTTTTATGGATATCTTTGAGAAATGGCTTTCTTCTTGCCACTCTTCCATAAAGGCCAGATTTGTGCAGTGCACGACTGATTGTTGTCCTATGGACAAACTCTCCCACCTCAGCTGTAGTTATCTGCAGTTCATCCAGAGTGATCATGGGCCTCTTGGCTGCATCTCTGATCAGTCTTCTCCTTGTTTGAGATGAAAGTTTGGAGGGACGGCCGGGTCTTGGTAGATTTGCAGTGGTCTGATACTCCTTCCATTTCAATATAATTGCTTGCACAGTGCTCCTTGAGATGTTTAAAGCTTGGGAAATCTTTTTGTATCCAAATCCGGCTTTAAACTTCTCCACAACAGTATCTCGGACCTGCCTGGTGTGTTCCTTTGTCTTCATGGTTCTCTCTGCGCTTTAAACAGAACCCTGAGACTATCAAAGAGCAGGTGCATTTATACGGAGACTTGATTACCCACAGGTCCATTCTATTTATCATCATCAGTCATTTAGGACAACATTGGATCATTCAAAGATTCTCACTGAACTTCTGGAGTGAGTTTGCTGCACTGAAAGTAAAGGGGCCGAATAATATTGCACGCCCCACTTTTCAGTTTTTTATTTGTTAAAAAAGTTTAAATTATCCAATAAATTTCGTTCCACTTCACGATTGTGTCCCACTTGTTGTTGATTCATGACAAAATTAAAATGTTATATCTTTATGTTTGAAGACTGAAATGTGGTGAAATGTTGAAAGGTTCAAGGGGGCCGAATACTTTCGCAAGGCACTGTATATATTGTGTTAGCAGTGCGTTGCTTTAGTGCCATTTCATCAGTGATGAACAAGAAGTTGTGCTAATGCTAATGTTAGCATACATGTCAGAATGCAAATTGAACTAGATGGCTCTGTTATGAGAGCGTAGGGGAAATGAGAAGCCATTGAGCGAGTTGGGGGGCGGTGCTAAACATTCAAACCTTGCAGAAACGGGTATAGCGCCTTTAACAAAACCATTGAAATCACCAACACAGATCAGAGAACATAGAACATATGTTGATAAATGTCACACATGTTGTAAAATGTTAGAGTGTCCTGGATCATCACCACAGTCCTTCTAGTTGGACACTAACTGCCCAACAGACCCCCCTGCATCGGCAAGGAAAACTCAAAAAAACAAAAACAGTGGGAAAAAGTAAGAAACCTCAGGAAGACCCATATTGAGAAAGAGATCCGCTCCCACGGACGACAGGCTATAGATCCAGGACCTAAACTACAGAACATGGACAGGTCCGGTACAGGACTGAAGCACTCCCAGGCGGGTCGGGCAGGACAGTCCGCAGGTGTAGATGGAGGCCAGGCTCAGAGGTCCTGCCATTGTACCACGAAACAGACAATGGACAACGGGTGAATAGAAATGAACAGACTACAGTCAAAATCATAATAATGCTAAACAGATAAAGTAGGAAGGAGGAGAGGATAGTGCTCAAGTTACCATACTTCGCCAGCAGGGGGCTCCCTATGCAGCTTGACTGAGTCTTACCTTCCTGACCATTTGCTAAACTAATAGGACTGTTTTAGCCTAGCCTAGAGCGTAGGGTTGAAGATGCAGCGGACCGGGTTCCATATACCCAGACTCCAAGACCGGACGAGACCTGACCGGACGAACAACCTAGCCAAATGCTAAGTTGAAGAAGAGTGTTTTTAGCCTGGCCTTAAACGTAGAGACAGTGGGCCTCATTCACGCTGGCGTTATGAAGTTCAATAAAACACAACATTACAGTGATATGTCCGTCATATTGATGTATGTATTTATTTATTTAATTGTTAATGGTAATTTAGCCCATTTTTTTATTCATTTTGAAATGAAATGTGCCAAAGCTTTATCAAATAAATTGGAAATCTTGCCGTGTATTAGTGACACCTTCCTATTTATAGGGGGCATTTCTTTATCCACGCGCCACAGAACAACGGCATATATACTGCTGCTGCAGGAGGCTGCGGGGTCCGCGCTGAGTCTCTCCCATGGATCTAGACGGGTCTGCGCTGGTCTCTCCCATGGATCTATACGGGTCTGTGCTGGTCTCTCCCATGGATCTAGACGGGTCTGCGCTGGTCTCTCCCATGGATCTAGACGGTCTGCACTGGTCTCTCCCATGGATCTACGGGTCTGCGCTGGTCTCTCCCATGGATCTATACGGGTCTGCACTGGTCTCTCCCATGGATCTACGGGTCTGCGCTGGTCTCTCCCATGGATCTAGACGGTCTGCACTGGTCTCTCCCATGGATCTAGACGGTCTGCACTGGTCTCTCCCATGGATCTAGACGGTCTGCACTGGTCTCTCCCATGGATCTAGACGGTCTGCGCTGGTCTCTCCCATGGATCTAGACGGTCTGCGCTGGTCTCTCCCATGGATCTACGGGTCTGCGCTGGTCTCTCCCATGGATCTATACGGGTCTGCACTGGTCTCTCCCATGGATCTAGACGGTCTGCACTGGTCTCTCCCATGGATCTACGGGTCTGCGCTGGTCTCTCCCATGGATCTATACGGGTCTGCGCTGGTCTCTCCCATGGATCTAGACGGTCTGCGCTGGTCTCTCCCATGGATCTATACGGGTCTGCGCTGGTCTCTCCCATGGATCTATACGGGTCTGCACTGGTCTCTCCCATGGATCTAGACGGTCTGCGCTGGTCTCTCCCATGGATCTATACGGGTCTGCGCTGGTCTCTCCCATGGATCTAGACGGTCTGCGCTGGTCTCTCCCATGGATCTAGACGGTCTGCGCTGGTCTCTCCCATGGATCTATACGGGTCTGCACTGGTCTCTCCATACGGGTCCGTGCTGCACGCTCCTGGATCCATACGGGTCCGCGCTGGTCTCTCCAGTCTGGTCCATGCAGTCTCTCTTTGGTCCGCGCTGGTCTCTGCGCACCTGTCTTTCCAGTCAGGTCTCAAGTCTACGGTCTCTCCTCGGTCCGCGCTGGCTCCAGTCTGGTCTATGCGGTCTCTCCTTTAGGTCCGCGCTGGTTTCTGTGTGCTGGTCACTCCAGTCTCTCCTCGGGTCTACATTGGTCTCAGCGTTGGTCCGCGCTGGATCTCCTCCCAGGGTCCAAAATATTTTGAGATACATTTTTTAATTAAGATAAGATTTTTGAGATTAATCTCATAATTTTGCTAGTTTGACTTTATTCTCATAATATTTCGATATTTAAGTCAACATTTTATAACTTTATTCCTAGTCTGGCAAAAGAAGTAAAAAAATAATAATTAAAAAAAAGACTTTAAACAATGAAATGTGGATCCTCTGAATACTATAATTATGCATACTTTTGTGTACCACCAAAAACATGCACAATAGGCCAGGATGAATGATGTGTGTGAATGTATGGAGGTGGTCAGTCTCCCCCAGGGGAAACTGAAGCTACTAACGTAGTTTACCACCACCGAGTATGGAGTGAATGTAAAATGCTCTCATGTAAAGCGCTTTGTGACCATGTCTGTTGTAACCCAGGTAGAAAACCCTGTGAGTTTATTCCCTTCTTAGATCAAATAAAAAAAAAGTATTATATTGATAATTGTATTGAGCATTGTAATAATTAGTATTATATTGAATTGAATGCATCTCCGCGTCACGTGACTGTGCGCTATACTCTCATTGGCTTATATGCCGGCAGTAGCACACACACCGGTAACGCGAGGTTGAAGCTGGGAGGGTGAATTGCTGCAGGTAGGTTTTGTAGAATTCTTTCTAAAATTATTTTAAAACGCTGGATTGGTTTAACATGTGTGGCAATCGGATGCTTAGGAGCCGAGGACGGGGTCCGTGCTACTTCTCAGAGCGAGTAAGGCAGAAGTTCGGGACTAGGTGAGTGCTTGTTGTTAGCATGTTAGCACCATACAAACCAATGGAGGCTAAGCGCTAGCGCTAATGCTAATCGGGGGAGATCTCTTTTAGAGTCGATCCTATTACTTTTCTCACATATTGGACCATGTCATGCGGTTCTGTTCATGTGTAGTGTGTTGTGTATATGTAACCCCTAACGGGCTATTCTGTGGGTGCACTTTGGTGGCGGTTTTTAGCCAGTTATACCAACATTTGTACTGCACTTCTCTGCATTGTAAGCACCAGCACTGCTCTTGTGTTTATCAATCAATAGACACTATTTTAAGAATTTTTATATCAATGTATTTGACAAATGATAATTGGAAGCACTGATTATTTATTTTGTGTGATATAGATGCTGATTATTTAAAGATTATGTCCTTGAATTATTGGACTAGATACTTTGATGTGCACATGATTTATGGTTGGTCCTGTTGTATACACAGGCCTTGTCAGATGGCGAGCTAGAGACCTGAACTATTGGAGTCATCATCTCGCTTAACTCCACTGGGCTCTCCACAAGGGGTCCACATTGTCCTCTTGGGACTCAGGAGTCAGCAGAACTTCATCTGCTCTGAGCAGGACGGGTAGGAGGCTCCTGCAGCCGCCTTCTTTAATTTTCATAACCTCAACTCTTCCTCGGGTGCCTCGGTCCGTGGCGACCGCGTCCAACCGTGTTCCGCGCTGTGTGGAATATTTTTGCTCTCAGGGAAATAAGCACTGAATGGACTATTGGAATACCGCTTGAACTTTTGTTGCATTTGTGACTTTTGTTGCATTGGAACTGGACTTTGTATATATCGTATGGCCATTCACTGGGGTTGGGTTGTGGGGTAAATGTTCTCTCTGTGTCCTTGTCTTATGTGTGTGCAATATATGGTACCAACAAAACCCAAAAGACTGTCTTGTGTATGTTTCACTCACTCCCAGAGCCGATACCTAGCTCTTCTGATCTAGCCAATTGATGTTCTCTCTTGTTGAAAAAAAGTCTAGTTAACCCAGAGACAGGTTACACTCTGAAATACGCTGTATAAATAAAGATCTTCTTCTTAATAGTACTTAGTTTGGGCCCCATTTGCTTCAGTTACTGCCGTAATGCGGTGTGGCGGTGCTGTGGAAGAGCAGGATGCTTCAACAAGAGGAATATGACCTTTGAAGCTCATGTTCAGGAAATTAGATATGATTTGAACACATGTACTCAACTAATGGGCGGCACGGTAGCGCAGCGGTTAGTGCTCTTGCTTCACAGCTAGAAGGTCCCAGGTTCGATTCCCACCTGGACGGGGCCTTTCTGTGTGGAGTTTGCATGTTCTCCCCGTGCGTAGGTTTCCTCTGGGTACTCCGGTTTCCCCTACCACCAAAAAACATGTGCAATAGGCCAGGAAATTAGCACAAGTGCTACAACCTGGTACAATGCATCTCTCCTTTCTGAGGTTAATGTAAATAAAAATATAATAGTTCATGACTTAGAAATGACTTTAAATATAGCCTGTTCTGTCTCTCCACCTGCCTCCCTCTACTGGCTGAAACGTGAAATGCTCATATGCAAATGAGGGCCATTCCCAGAGGGCCATCTTGAGTTTCTTCGCTATACCTAACCCTAACCCTAACCCTAACCCTAACCCTAAAGTCTAGCCTAGCTCCTGGCCCTAACCTTAACCATAGAGGGGAACAGCCCTAAACTTAACCAGTCACAGGAAGACATAAATTGGAAACTAAATTAGTTCATTGGTTACTCAACAAGAGTGGGGGGGCGGAGCCTGTACACCATATAAAAGAGGACACCGAACAGAGTGCCTCCAGTCAGTGTAGAACTCGCCTGAAGAAGACACAAGAAGCTGTCGAAACGTAGCGCATACAATTTTTCTACACATACACTCTACTATAGAGCAATTTTTTGAACCCCCTGGACACAAGATGGCGGCCATCATGGTGGTTGCCAGTGCCCAGAACACCCGCTTGGTCCAGAGTCAGGGAGAGGGCCCGTGCATTTTGTTGTACCCTTCGGGGGACAATGACTTTGTATACCCTAACCCTAACCCTAACCCAGAAAGACGCATGTGAGACAGGAAACATCCCCGCCAGCACCACGGAGAGCGACTCCACTTGTCACTCTCCCACCGCCACAAAACAGGGCTCTCGGTGCTCAAACTCGACAGTCAATTCAACGACCACAACCTCCACTCAGAAACATCATAAATTCACAAACACAAACAATGGGAACAAATACAGGAGATATAAATGAGGAACAAGGAACAGACACCCCTACACCAAAACCACAGCGAATCAGATCAATAAGGAGACACTTTCAGCCAGCAGTATGCCCAATGGAGGAACTAGATCAGGGGTGCCCAAACCTTTTGCTTCCAAGGGCCAAAGTAAAAATTTGCCAGTGGGCCGCGGGCCAAATACACCGATATTATGCATGAAACACAAATAAATGTAGATTTGATCAAGTTCTTTTAAATGCATTAATTATTGTCTATCAGTGCAAATCACAGCTGAATGAATGAAATCAACACAGTCTCAGTGAAGTGGAGGCTCCAGGGAAATATGCAGGTTTGAGGAGACTACAGTACGGAAAGATTCCGGCCGGGTAATCAGGGTCCAGAGGAGGGAGATTTTCTGTCATGGCTTATTTACAAGTTAAAATCATATAAAAAACCTCAAAAAGAGAACAGAAACATACATTTTGTGTGCACCATGTGCACTTGTATATTGTAAATAGTAACTGTAACTCTATTTTAAATGTAAATGTATTCCTTAGAAGTGTTTTTTATTCTTTATTTTTATTATCTCTGTTGCACTGAGCCAAAGCAATTTCCAAGTCTGTGACTTCCTGTTACTTACGTGGCAATAAAAATGATTTTGATTTTCTATGTAAATAAACTGTTTTTTAAAACGCTACTAAACAAATAATGTTCCTGCTAGTAAATGAAAGTACTAATTTATATTAAAAAATATCATACTCCCAAATTAAATAATCTATATTTTTAACCTGTCTTGTCAGTAAACTGTTTGTTGAAGACCTTTTTCTAAAGTTTTGCATTACTATAGTACAGTGATTTATAATGTATAGGTTTATTGTACTAATGACATTTACTTTACAAAAGTAATCATATTACTTTATCTTAGCTTTTATCAAAAAGGGGAGACATCACAGATCAGTAGATCTGGTTTTAGCACACTTTTAAACAATACATTTTAACATGTAGTAATACATTTGGGAACATAATTGCTAACTGCATTTTCTAAACATGATCAAGTTTTAACTCTGTTTTAACTTAATATTTTTAACATACGGCAAGTATTCTCAATTAGTAGTGAACTGAATATTAAATTAACGAAATCAGACTAGTTAACCTTGATTTGTTCCTGGAGTTTTGTTTTGTTTTGCCTTAACACAGTACAACATTTATAAACAATCAAAACAAAGTAACTGTTAAAGAGTCCGTGTTTCCGCTCCTCGAAAGGGCTCTTGAACGCATCATAAAACGCCGCGTAAGTTCTGACATTCAGTGATCGCGAGTGATGACGGCGCTTACCAGCTTCTTTCATGGGGTTGTAGAAGGGTTTGTTTTGCACAGTATTTGTTGCTTCTACTTGCGTGGATTGTGCGCTGCGATCCCTGCTTGTCCTGCTTGAACTCACTCTGAAGTGTGTGTGTCCGTCTTTTTTAACACACCGGGTGGGTGCGGATTGCGCAGGTGAATAGTTCCACTCGCCATTTCCCTCCGGTGAGGAGGGGGAGTGGCAGTTCGGCAGCACAATCCTCTCAATTTGATAAAACATTAAATTGCTCCAAAAAATAATAATAGTAGGCTGAAAACAAAGAACATAAAGGGGCCTTGCACCCAATTGTTTTAAAAGATGTGTTTGATTTTAAAAAACATTTTAGTGCAAGTAGATGTGAACCATGAGTGAGGAGTGTATCTCGATACAACAGTAAAGTACTGGACAGTCGCAGTGCAGAGGGTGTTGATGCGCCCGCGCGACCTCAGACATTTCACTGTTTGTTCAGCGAGGCTGAGGGACGCACATAGCAACTTATAGCAGAGGTGGGCAATGTTTGGCGGGCCAACTGAAATGGTCTGGCGGGCCAACTTTGGGCACCCCTGAACTAGATGAAGCTATTACAAGCCACTATGAGGAACCCCCTACACCTCCCCCCTACAGGGAGGAGAGGTCCTCCCCCACCACCCTATTGAGCCTGCTGGACGAGGACGAATCCCAGGAAATGGACAAAACCCCAATCCTCCAACACCCACATCGACCAGAAGCCTAGCCCAAAATGCAGGGACCCTCACCCACCGGGCCCTCACCCACCAATCCACACCCATGGACCCACCCACACCCACCAACCAAGACCGTTACTACCCAAGAGTACATATCAGAACACAACGGAAAATAAAAAACTGGACACTCACCATTGAAAAAAAGTGGGTTATAATAGGAGATTCCAACATACGCAGATTCCCTCGCCACTCAATTCCTGACCTCCAAATTGAATGTTACCCCGGGGGAAACTTCAGGCACATTGCTGCCACCTTAAACTCTGCCATACAAAATAAAAGAATGGAAAAACTAGTCCTAGCCTTTGGCATCAATCACAGGGACCAGGCAGGCAGAGAAACAGCAATAAAACAAATGCAAACAGCCATCAGGACCGCCAAAAGACGCTTCCCTGGCTCAGAAATCTGGATCCCCGCAATAAACTGCTCCAGGAATCTCCCACATCATCAACAAGCCACCATCCAAAGAATGAATGACTACACATTAGAAAACATAGGACACATCCCAGCCCTGCCTGCTGACCTCTTTCAAACCGAAGACGATGATGTACATTGGACAAAACCTACAGCAAATATAATATTCAAACATTGGACCAGCTTTTTAAACTTCACAGCCCCCAGAGCTCTGACCTAAGGGGGCAAACTCCAACAATAAAATCAAATGTAATGGTCTTATCCAAACACATGCAACCCACCCATACCCAATTACAAATCTTAACAAAAGGACTGACTTTCATACCCACCCTGGACTTTCGCAAAAATCAAAAACAACAATTACAAATAGACATTCAACAATACCACAGGAAAATTAAATTACTTACCTTTTTCACCCACCAGAGGGAGCCATCACACAAGAAAAGACTCTTCAGACCACCGTCCACTTGGAGCCCGCCACTGTCTATGCTACCCCCAGAGATACCATACCTTATTAAAGCAGACCTCAAAGCCCTGGAGGAACAACACAAACCAAGAAGAGAAGAACAAAATTTCACTACAGAAGAGGAACAAGCCCTAAAAGATTTAATTAAACGGAAAGACATAGTGATTAAACCTGCCGACAAAGGAAACACCACAGTTATCATGGACAGAGAACAATACACACAAGAAGCTCTAAGACAACTAAACAACACTCAATATTATAGGAAATTGGATTCACCCATATACCCGGATACAATACAACACATAAGACACATTTTTGACACACTCCACAAACTAAAATACATAGACTCAAAACAGAATGAATACTTAAAGGGGGACCACGAACCCAGACCCAGACTATTTTACATGCTTCCAAAAATACATAAAGACCCACAGACATGGACCATACCCTACGAAATCCCACCAGGTAGACCTATCATCTCAGACTGCTCCAGCGAAACATATCGATCAGCGGAATACCTGGAACATTATCTCCACCCACTCTCTATCAAACACCCAGCATATCTCAAAGACACATATCACTTTATCAACATCATCAAAAACCTAAAAATAACCTCTACTCCCTTTTTCCTTTTCACCATTGACATTGACTCCCTCTATACTAACATTGACACCCCCGCAGGCTTGGCTGCAGTACGAAATATTATGAATAAACACCCTGACCCTACCAGACCGGACACACAAATACTTCAACTCCTTGAAATAAACCTGAACCGGAATGATTTTGAGTTCGATGAAGAATATTATTTACAGATTAAAGGCACAGCCATGGGCAAGAAATTCGCTCCATCATACGCAAACATATTTATGGCAGACTGGGAGACAAAAGCACTGGAACAATGCTCCATCAAACCCATAACATATCACAGATACCTGGACGATATTTTCGGAATTTGGACTTCAACAGAAACGGACTTGACACACTTCATACAAACCCTGGACTCCTTCGACCCCTCCATCAAACTAAAATATGTATACAACCCACAAAAAGTGGACTTCTTAGACACAACAGTGTACCTAGGCCCTTCATTTGAACACACTCAAACCCTGGACATAAAAGTATTTTTCAAAGATACGGACACACATTCACTCCTCCACAAAACAAGCTTCCACCCAAAACATACATTCAAGGGCCTGATAAAATCACAGCTCACCCGATTCAAACGTATATGTACACAACACTCAGACTTTCTGCAAGCAGTTCAGACCCTATTTGGAGCCCTAAGACACCGAGGCTATTCCCGCTCATTCTTAAGGCAGTGCCTAGCCACATTCGATAACAACAACAATAAAACAACAAAAGACGACACCGAATTAATTGCATTTATTTCCACGTACTCCACACCAGCATTAAAAATAGCCCCCCATATCAAAACAAACTATTTACATTTTATTTCTAACCAAGGACTTTTACCCAGACACAGGATGATAGCAGCATCCAGAAGGAACCCGAATCTAAAGGACTATTTAGTCAGAGCCAAACTTGGATCACTACAGAACGTTAAGAAGCCCAACCCAATAAAAGACATTTTCATAAATCTGAAATATATCAAAAACCATTCCAACAACCTGTACCATAAAATCACACAAACCTTCCACCCAGAAACCCGGAACTGCATCTACTCCATCTTCTGCACTAAATGTGAGAAACAATATATAGGGGAAACTAAAGATTCCATCTTACAACAAATGATTCAATACAAATACATCCTGATAAGGAGAAAAGGCTTCCTCACCCCACTACAAATACACAGTAATTTACATGGATTAGAAGCATTCAGAATCACAGGACTAGAATACAACTCCACTTGGACAGACAAAGAAAGACAAAAGAAACAGAAACATTGGATTCAGTTGCTCAACACCAGAGACCCACACGGATTAAACAGGAAACATCAATGATTCACAAAACACAAACACGCACGCACACACACACACACACACACACACACACACACACACACACACACACACACACACACACACACACACACACACACACACACACACACACACACATACACACATACACGCATACACACACATACACATACACACACACACACAGGAAACAGTATAAACCTGCACAGAATAAGAAACACAAAGAACTCATACTTACCATTGGTTAAACAAAAAGGATAATCCAACACCAACACACTAACATCTGAAAAACAGGAAACCTAATACAGCCTTAACATCAAACAACCTGAAAGAAAGAACATATAGATACTTACATACACCACAACCAGGATATGACTGAGCAAAATAACCAGGAAGGACAGCATACAACCAGGAAGTGAAATTGAAATGGAAACAAATCACAAACCTGAACAATATTACCTATACTCACCTTTACCGGACCCATAAGAGTCTACACTAACATCCAGAAGGACAGAAAATCTAATGCAAAGGCCAAAAATTAACCACTCCTGTTCCCAAATGCCTAAACCTAACCGCCCGGACACAAAAACCTAAAACTTAACCATCCCTGATCTTTAAATGCCTAAAACTTAACCACTCCTGTTCCAAATGCCTAAACCTAACCGCCCTGACACAAAAAGCCTAAAACTTAACCATCCCTGATCTTTAAATGCCTAAAACTTAACCATTCCTGTTCCAAAATGGCTAACCCTAACCGCCCTGATACAAAAGCCTAAAACTTAACCATCCCTGATTTGTATTGCCTAAAACTTAACCATTCCTATGTTTAACCAAATCATCAATATATAAAACCTAGCCCCAACCCGAAACATATATCCTAACCTTAACCACTTGGAGATAAACATCTAAAACATAACCATCCCTGTGCTTAATAAAGTTAAATTCACCCAGAAACAAATCCACGAACACCATTGCTTCAAGAACATTTTATTAAAAGAGAAAAACATCACAGAGCAACTGTATACAAACAATAAAACAGCAAAATATAGATACATAGAAACTGCACGTAGGCCCCAGACAATGTCACAATGACATCATTGCATACCACCTGACGGAAGGAGGCGCATTAGCGCAAGGGGGGCGTGCCCCATCATAAAAGCCAACTCCACCTGCTGCTCTCATCAGTCTGTGTGTGAGGCCTGAGGAAGACGGACCTCCGTCGAAACGTTGCCGCTTAACACACAGACTATTGAAAAAAAGAAAAAAAGTGACTTACCTTCACAGAGAAAAAGTTACCAACCTTATAGACCACATGGTCTATAGACTGACCATGAGGGAAGACTGGCCTGGGTCAAAACAACAATTCTTCCAACGACCCAGGACCACCCAGTATAATTGGAGGGCCAGTGCCAACACTCTCTCTTCAGAGAGACACCCGCACGCGCGTCATGCCCTGGGAGTCATTTTGAGAGCTCCCTTATGCTAACAGTCTTAATTGTGGAAGTACTTATGAAAACCCAAAAAGGCGGCTTTTGTATCATACTTTCTCTGTTATAACAATTGTTTTAAGAGTAATCATTAGTCTTAAAAATGTGATATTTCATGTAAATAATGTATGTGTTTAGTGCGATTGATGGATTTGCTATGGCCCTCGTTTGTGCAGCACTTTGTTGTAAAGTAATTTGTATTAAGTACAAATGTGATTATGTGCAGGGGGACATCTGTGAACATGAAGCTGGACACAGAAGACGCGTGGACTTGAACTTACGGACCAGATTTAAGGTCATGAGTACTTACTTTTTGAGCACAAGCTCCTCTTGAAATCCAACAGACCTGATCATGTCAGAGTTAATGGCTTAAATGTATTTAAGATTAGAAGTACTTAAATAAAAGCTATGAAACATGTTTCTCACGGATTGTGTGGTTGGATAAAACAAACGCATACATCACTTTTCATTGCACACAAAGAACTAAATCATAATAATTTTATTTTATTCCAGGTTGTGATGAGTCCACCGCCGGGCTGGACTGGCCATCGGGCGTACCGAGAAGGGTCTGTCTGCGGCTTGCAGTACGGAGGCGTGTCGTGTAGTGACGTCACTACACGACACGCCTAGTACACAAATTTTAAACCCGTTGAAAACTCGAAGAGAAGACATGGCAGACCGTACGCAAACAGTAAGTGACAACCAACAACGTGTTTTATTTATTTTTAGTCCATCACACAAGTTACAGTGTATTAATGAATAAATGCACATCACCTTGATTAATAATGTTTTTTAAGAAGTGAACTAATACCATGGATCTACGAATACATTGCAGAGAAAGCAATTCGTATGGGTTTCTTCTAAGAGTCATACTATGTGCGATCAACAAGTCGTTAGGCACATTGCATAATTGCCCAAGTCATTTTGCATCGTTAAAATGGCAATAAAGAGGAAAAACATAATCTTTTCATGTTTTCCAAGCACAGTGGAAAATTAGTTTGGCAATTATGCAGTTACAGAAGTCACTGACCGTAGTTATTGGATGATGTTACAAGACATTTGTGTTTCTGCTCCTTCAGTGGAGTGTTTTAAGTCTCGTCTTAAGACCCATTTTTATGCTCTGGCTTTTAACACTACGTGAGTTGTATGGTCCTTTTATTTTATTTTATTTTATTTTATTTTATTTCATCTTATTATTGTTATTTTTGTGTTTATACTTATGCACACACGGTTTTTCAAATTAGATTTTTTATTATTAACTGTCTTACTATGGATTTATTTTTGGTATTTTATTGTGCAGCACTTTGGAAACTGTGTTTATGAAATGTGCTATATAAATAAAGTGGATTGGATTGGATTGGATTTCTGAGTGTGCACAAATGTCTGTTTATGTCTGCTTTCAGTTACATCCTACGATTGTCAGTGATGGACATGGAACTGCAGTCCTGAAGCAGAGGAACACGCTCATGTGTGTAACTCGTTTTAAACATGGAGCTGCAGAGCTGAAGCAGAGGAACACGCTCATGTGTGTAACTCGTTTTAAACATGGAGCTGCAGAGCTGAAGCAGAGGAACACGCTCATGTGTGTAACTCGTTTTAAACATGGAGCTGCAGAGCTGAAGCAGAGGAACACGCTCATGTGTGTAACTCGTTTTAAACATGGAGCTGCAGAGCTGAAGCAGAGGAACACGCTCATGTGTGTAACTCGTTTTAAACATGGAGCTGCAGAGCTGAAGCAGAGGAACACGCTCATGTGTGTAACTCGTTTTAAACATGGAGAAGCACAGATCATCACACACATGCAAACCCATGAAAGGGCATATGTCAGTACTGTGGAGATGGTGGTGTATATATCTGTGTATATATCTTCTTCAACAACACTGCTACCAGACAATTACATAATTTATTGGTTGCTTATTCCAAAGCCTTTGAAATTGTTTGACAAAAAAAAAGTTGTTTCAGTTGCTTTTCTGGATTCTCTCATTTGTTTCCTCAGGCATGGAGGACGGTTTGCTCATTTCACCAAAGAGGGAAAACAAATGGTCAATGGGTGTCTTTCACCCATCTTCAGACTGAAGAGGAAGAGACAGCCTACTCAAGAGACAAATGTAAACATGTGACATCACAATCATTACTGAGTGATATTCATAGTGGCCTTGAACGAACACATTAGCAACTTGCATCCTTTCAGCAGCGGCCTTGGACAATGACCAACCAGTGCAAGGCAAAAAGTACTGAAATTGTCCAGCAAACACAGTTGGTAAGTGACTGACCACCTTATAAGACATTACATAAAGTGCACATGTCATAATTTTAATGTTGATACTGATGATAATGTTATGGAATAACTAATGCTAGAACAATTGTGAGTTACTGGAGGATAGTGAAAAGCCACTCCATAATTATTAACAACCGTTATTTCGAAATTATTTGTGAGAAATGTATTTTTACATTTTAGAAAGCGGTTAAAGAAACACAGCGGGTGCGGCAACTTGAGTGTGCTGATGATTAAGTGCATGAAGGGGAGCAGCTCAATTAGGGAACACCTTGAGGTAAACTTATCAGCATGAAGATATACTTAGTAAGAATTCAAAGTGAAAGGCTTTCGCAATATTTTTGTTGTTGTCATTTTAGTCATACTGTTAATATGGCTATTACTATCAATAATGACCATCTCCATCCTCTAATATAACTATTGTTTTTCAGGCTATCTTAACTGGGGACCTTATTTCAACTTGGGAATCCAGGAGGGAGAGGCCAACCCTTTACTTTGAGGACGAGCAACTGGATGAGGTTGCCGTCATCAGGGAGACCCCAAGAGCAAGACAGCAGAACGACTGGATTGACGTCGTCATGAATGTGCTCGTACCGTAAGTATAGCATGATTAACATAATTTTTGTTTTACATTAGTAGGCCCGAGCGCCACCAGGCTGGCACAGAGACTATTGTAATGAAAGTGTGCATAAAACACTGATCCCCCTCAAACATAAACATCTCATGGTACTTGTTTCCTGGATGTACACTACTAAAAATAAGTCTGCATTGCAACATTGTTGATGTACAGAGACCATAAAGTCATAAGTGCAAGTCACTGACAATTTATTAAACAGGACACAACACCTTTTAGGGCTGCATTTGGTTTGGTGAATTGTTGTTGTTGAATGTAACACATTCCACTCTTATCGAGGTGACAGTTCACACTCTGGCCGAGGCATTTCACCTCCATTGCAAGAGGAAATTGGAAAACTCAAAGGGGCCAAAGTATGAACCATGGTAAGATTATTTTAAATATTGATGGAAATATTTCAACTTTCATCTAATCTGTGACTGTTCTTTTTGGACAGTGAGTTTAAACCCTGGTGGATGCCCTGGTGAGACATTTACCGGAGGAGGCAGCAGGGAAGCTGAAAGCATTTGAAGAAAGATGGAGATTACCGGCCTCTTCTGAAGCCTTTCTCTCAAGATTAAAATTTTGAAAAAAAATTTGGTTGCAATATTTGTTTTGTGTAGAACTTATTCAGTGTCTACATTTCAGAGCCATTCACATAACACACATTCATGAAAAAGCATGTATATAAAATGCCAGATAACAATAAGATGTTCTTGATGTTTAATCTCTCTCTTCTACATATTTGACAAAGACAATAATAATGAATGTCTGCTTGTCCCAAAATGCCAAAGCAGGGAGCTGGGCACAAAAAATGTTATGGCATGGTCTCTTTATGATCAGTAATGTGAGACCGTGGGCGGAGGAGTGTGTGTTGGTGGTGTAATAATAACTTTAATTTGTATTGTGCTTTTCAATCCTGTGTTGACAAGTTTCTCAAAACGCCACACTGTAGTCTTTATTCATTTATTCCACACAGCTGGGTTGGAGGATGCCAGGCTGCTAATCTGTGATTTGAGCCACCAACCATAGGCCCCTTTTATAAATGAATGTACAGACAGATGAATTAGACACAAGCACTGACATTATTTTAGACTCGTTAACTTTTGTCCGGAGCCGCTTCAAATCCCTATTGATTGTCTAAAGTAGTCTGAAGTAATGGCAGTTTTTGTAGGCAAATTTACTACTTTGATATTTACAAAATTCGTCCATTTTCCCCCAATAAATAATGATGACAATGACATGCCCCATAAAATTCATTATTGCGCAAAAATTATTGGGCATAGATAGTAGATGCTTACTACTAATCATACCCGTATTATAATAGATCCATGCTCATACCCCTTTAAGAAACGTAGAGTGGGCGTTTCGTGAAGTAGGCGTGTCGTGTAGTGACGTCACTACACAACACGCCTACTACACGACACGCCTCCGTACTGCAGGCCGCAGACAGACACACTTGGGCGTACCGGGCAATGCCCGAAGGGCCGATGCCCATATATGGGCCTGTCTGTCTGCCTCATACAAAAAACATGTTTGTGAAAAGTGTAAATCCGTTGAGAAATGTGTAAGGGGAGCGCGCGTGTCCGCAGGGCACCTGCTGTATGTACGCAAACGGGATTCCACCGCCTCAGCGGCCGCAGTGTTCCCGCATCCAGCGGCTCTGAGCTGGACGCAAGAACCGCTCACCGGGAGCCGCTCACAACACAACACGGTGAGCGCGTAGCCGCAACGTGACCATGTACCCAAGACCATAAACGCGCACAGGACCATGCATGTCTTTTTGTAATTTGTGCACCCAATAAATACACCGCTGCAGAAAACAGTCTGTGTCTCCCCTCTCCTCTAAATTAAAGCTCGGGTACCTGAATTTTCCATTGCATTAAAAGTTCATGTTTGAGCCCAAAAGTAACATGTTGTGAACAGATTAAACAGATTTAGAGCCAGCTAATGGCTGACAATATGCATTTCAGAAATGTTTACCAATTCTCATCCCTGTAACAAACAATATTGTCTGTGACACCTCCCTCACTCTGAGACATGTTTATTACTCTGTTTAATGTAGACTATTGTACTTTATGTTATTGTTGAAACTGCAGACATCCTGATCCTCTACAGTATTTGCTTCCACATACTGTATAAACCAGGGGTCGGCAACCTTTAGTGCCCCAAAAGTGGCTCCTGGAGCCTTTTCAAAAATGTCTGAAAATAGAGTGTGAGGGCTATATTTTATTTCTAGTTTGAATGTGGTTTCTGTAGGAGGAAAAACATTAACGTTTTTCAATGCTGCAAAAACTTGTATAAGTAATATTCAATTTTTGCATTTCTGTCAACGTAGTGCGTCATATCCGGTGACGCGGCCCGCGCCAGGTGGCCGCTGCTGTAAACAAACCGGCGTGTGTGCATTATAGACTGTGTGTGCGCATGGATCCCAAAGATAAAGAGAGAGAGTCGATAAGACTGGACTAAGAATGAGAATGAACATTTGCTTTCAGTCAATGAGGAAGGACTGCTTCATGTTTGCGATGTAATGAAAAGTTTTGTTGCAACAGGAGGAACAATGAAGCTTTAACCACTGTTCACTGAAAGATTTATTATTTATCATAAAGTCAGAGCAACTATTTTCAGACTTCAAATACCTTCGCAAAGACGGGGAAAGAAAAGGCCATTAAGGACATTCAGCTCCAGCAAACTTCAGCCTGTGGCGTGATCGATATGAACAGACAGTGATGCAGGTGAACTCGAAGCCAAAAAGCAGATTTATTTACTGTATTTGTACAATTGCATGAAGGTTAAACTTAAAGCAGAGTTGTCACGTGGTGCGTCATTCTCTCCAGGACACGCTGCAATGAAAATACACATTTGATAATCATGAATGGTTTTTATGTGTTTAGCCTTTACTTTGTCATTTAGATATTAGGCTAATATAGCAAATATAGCTAATGTAGCTAAGGTAGCTAATGTAGCTAATGTAGCTAATGTAGCTAATACAGCTTCAGCCCCTGTTACCTTCATATAAGCCTTATACAACGCTGTTTTTTTTTTTTGTTGCGGCTCCAGAGAGATGTTGTTTTTAGTTTTTTTGTCAAATATGGCTCCTTGAACCTTTTGAGTTTTTTTGTCCCAGTCCAGCCCTGGTCCACCGTAGAAAAGACAGTCAGAGGCAGACGTCCAGGCACCTGCTGTTGTTACTGCTGTTACTGCTGCTGCATATGTCTTCAAAAAAAGAGTAATGTGTTCTAACTATCCATGACTTGCAATTAATAAACAAATGAAAATATTGGTCGTTGTAGTTTATATTGTAATCCACAGGAGCTGGAGGTGATGGAAATGGATGAAGAAATGATGGCCTCTGGAAGACAGCTGCCTCTGGAAAAGGAAAAAAAATGTAAACAGACCCGGTTCTTCTGGGATTAAAATTAGCCTTTTGCTACAATCAGACATGTCGACATATATGTTCAGCCATATGTTCATATACATGTTCTGTCCCAGTCAAATTAATTTATATAAATACACAGTAGTAGAGTAGAAACAGACGCTCTGAGGAGGAGCAGAAGTAGAATGCCTTTACAAACAAGTGAACACTATTCAATAATTTAACATGTCATATCAACAGTAAATGTAAATACATTCCCAGTTTTTAACAGGAGGCTGGTAGAGTGGGACTTATCTATCAGTCTGATTCCTCTCTGTAGCATTAATATTGAATCCATGGGTTTGTTTTCTCCCTAAAGAAACAATCCTTCACCTGTAAAAACATATTCAGAAAGTACATACAGTAGTGGTTTGCGTGTTACATACCAACTAATGATGAGAAAACGCACTTACCGGTTTGCCGGTGGACGGCATGTTTAGATGAACAAGACAAGTCGTGCTCTGACCCCAGCAACATATATGGAGGATTGGCTGATCGATTGCTTCTGTCTTGATTCAGGCAAGGCAAGGCAAGTTTATTTGTATAGCACAATTCATACACAAGGCAACTCAAAGTGCTGAACAAGATAGCATTAAAATCATAAATAATCACAGAACATTAAAAAGAAAGATAAAGATATAAAATCCCTCAGTTGTATGCACAGCTAAACAGAACCGTTTTTAACCTGGTTTTAAACATTGTCAGAGAGGAGGCCTGTCTCACATCTTCAGGAAGATTGTTCCAGATTTTAGCAGCATGAATCTGAAAAGCAGCCTCCCCATGTTTAGTTCTGACTCTGGACACTAACAGGAGTCCAGTCCCTGTGCTCCTCAGAGTCCGGGCTGGTTGTCACTAATGTATTTTGGTGCGAGGCCATGGAGAGACTTGTAACAAGCAGAGCTGTTTTAAAGTCTATTCTCTGAGCCACAGGAAGCCAGTGCAGAGACCTGAGGACCGGACTAATGTGGTCGTACTTCCTGGTTCTAGTAAGGACTCGAGCTGATGCATTTTGAATGTACTGCAGCTGTTTTACAGCCTGTTTGGACAGACCTGTGAGCAGGCCATTGCAGTAGTCTAACCCAGGGGTTCCCAAAGTTTTTAGCCCGCGACCCCCATCATAAATGCGCTGCTCCCCTGCGACCCCCCAACTCAACAGTTCTTCAATGAACATGTATTGCCTTGATACGGAGTTACGCAGAGACTCGCGCCACTACTGAGCTGCACTGTCCAGAGCCCAAAAAAGGAAGCTTGCGTATTTTTACTCACGTAGTGACACAGTAATGGGCTTGGTGGGCTCCCTTCTTAGCAGAAGTGGAGTGCATTTCTTGCGGCTCACCCTCACTGTTCTCACCGCGGTAAAGTGGCTCGGCTTTTCGAAGTCAGCGGTAAAGAGGTCCGCACATCAAAAGCGGGCGGACGCTTTCTGCTGTTAGTTTATGCGGTTCATCCCCGCGGCTTCTCTTTCCAAAGTTACTATAAGTAACAGCTGTCATAACCTGGCTCAAGGCCATGACAAATGTGGACGCAGACACCGTAAATGGATACTTAAAGGGTGTTTATTAAACGAAGATTAACCCAAAGTACCAAAGTAACAATAATAATGAGGTGTGACTGTCTGTATCAGTGGTGTATGCGAGTGAATGGTGGTGTGTTCGGATGGTGCGATGTGAAGTGTGATGCAGAACAAAACCATAACGGGAACAGAAAAAAAAGTGGTGTGGCACAGGACGCAGGCTGGGAGAGAGAGGCTGTCAGCAGGCCGGTCCATAAATAGGCGTGGCGCGTCGGGCCCTGACGCACCACGGTCCAAGGTCCGCCCACAGCTCCACCTGTACAGAGGTAGATGGTAGTACAGAGCACGACCACAGAGAGGAGGAAGAGGTCGTGACACAGCATAAACCGGCCACCCGCTTTTAATGTGCGGACCTCTTTACCTTTGACTCCGAATAGCCGGGCCTCTTTACCGCGCTGTTCTACCGCTGCCCTCTCTTCGCACCATCAGCCTGACCTCACATGTGACTTTTCTCCCCCTCCGGGTTTTTCTGTTGTGCATATTAAACACGTCTCATTTTAAAGCAGGTATTATTTGTTTGTAGCCTCCAAACACCTTTAGTTTTAGCAAACAACAGCAGGACACGCTTTGTCGCTGCGTGACGTAAGCTGCGTAAATGGATTTTGATTGACGCTGTCAATGACTGGACAAAATTACAAACGTAATTTAAATATATTATATTCTCCTAACACAATTTGACATGTAGTCCTTTTGAATCAAATCAAATGCTAAATAAATATGTAAGGGCTATTAATTAGCTAAATTTTTTATTATTATTATTATATATATTTTTTTTTTGTGGAAATCATTTTGCGACCCCCACTTTGGGAACCACTGGTTTAACCTACTGGAGACAAATGCATGGATAAGAATCTCCAAGTCTGCTTTAGACACTATGTTTTTGATCCTGGCAATGTTTTTTAGATGGTAAAAAGCTGCTGATGTTACTGATTTGATGTGGCTATTAAAATTTAAGTCTGAGTCCAGTATTACCCCTAGATTTCTGACCTTGTTTGAAGGTTTTAGGGAGAGAGGCTGTAGGTGACAGATGACGCTCTCTCTTTGTTTCTGGGGACCAAAGACAATCATTTCAGTTTTGTCTGTGTTTAGCTGAAGGAAGTTGTTTTGCATCCACTCACTGATCTGTTGGATACAGTGAAGGAGTGAGTCCACTGGTCCATGTTCTCCTGCAGTCAGTGAGACATAGATCTGAGTGTCGTCTGCATAGTTATGATAGGACACTTTGTTTCTGCGTATTAACTGACCTAACGGCAGCATGTAGAGATTGAACAGAAGAGGTCCCAGGATCGACCCCTGTGGGACTCCACAGGTCAGGGCCATATGATCTGAGACACAGTTTCCAATCTCCACAAAGTACTTCCTGTCTTCAAGGTAAGACCTAAACCAACTTAGGGCGGTGCCAGCGACTCCAACCCAGTCCTCTAGTCTCTGTAAGAGGATCTCATGGTCGACGGTGTCAAAGGCAGCACTTAGATCTAACAAGATTAAGATTGAGACTTTGCCTGCGTCAGTGTTCAGCCGGATATCGTTTGTAACCTTAACGAGAGCAGTCTCAGTGCTGTGGTGGGGTCTAAAGCCGGACTGAAACATATCAAATGAGTTGTTGATTATAAGAAATCTAGTAAGCTGTAGGTAGACAACTTTTTCAAGGACTTTCCCCATAAATGGCAGATTTGAGATGGAACGATAGTTGTTAAGTACCGTAGCATCCAGACTGCTCTTTTTTACCCGGAAATAAAGCATGACATTTCAAGCAGCGAAAAAAAATGCAACGAATTTTTTGACACTGAAGTTTTTTCAACTTTGAATATTTTGACACTGAATTTTAAAACAATGAATTTTTGGACATGGAATTTTAAAACATTGAATTTATTTACACTGAATACTTTTTTGTTACAGTTTATAGAATTCAAAAGCATAAAAAGTGTTAATAATAAAAAGACAAAATAACCTTCATAGACTCCTCCTCGGCCGTTTCACCAATTGGCATCAAAATCGCTCCACATCATCTCACCACATGTAGCATCGAAATGACCTCAGGGAATTTTGATCAGTGAAACGTTGTTCGAGCAGCGGAGTAGCAAAATGTGAGGGTTTTTTGGCCGTTTTTGACAACATAAAATTTGCTCTCGTTTGCACAAACAAAGTCTGATTTGCACAAACCTTGAATCCATTGTTCAACTCTAGGGTCGAGGTCAAACCAACTCAGCTGATCATATTAATTACAATTTCACAAACATTCTTCTATGGCTACGGGAACAAACCATGACGAGGCGGCGCTACCTCCAATACGCGGGCTCTTGTGGAGCGGCGCGTGCGTCGTGTCACGGAGCGGGGCGGTGAGTTGCGGGCGGCGTGGTGCGGGTCGGCGTGGTGCGGGGAGTTGCGCGGTGTGGCGAGGGCCGTTCGACGCCGCTTGCGGCTTTAATTTGTTTTGTCTTTCTTCTCTAATTATTTTGACTTTGAATTCTTATGATTTTGTATGTTTTATTGTTTATTATGCTGACTGTGCAGTGCTATACAAATAAATATTTATTATCATTATTATCATTGTTTGCACAACATGTATTAATTTAGTAGTTCCTTAAAGCACAAATTTTAACACTGTAAAAACCTGTAACACATTTATTCTATTATGTGTAGTAGGCCAACATTTTGTATATACTATAATAGAATTTATAGGCACTGGCACTGTTAGGTCACTTCTTCCACTGGCTGCCCAAGTGGCATTGAAAGGAAGCACTTCTTGAGAAAAGGCTACCTGCTTCATGTGGCCTCTTCATCCTCTTTTACACCTTTCATCTTCTCCATCCTCATCTTCTCCATCCTCATCTTCTCATCCTCCCCCTCCTCTACCGCTCTCTCCCACGATGCTTTGCGCACTCCACACCAAGATGGCCGACGCGATGGAGGAATATGAGAAAGAAGCTGGCTGTGTCCCCATCCTACACCCCGAGGTAAACCCTTAGCAGCATTTTGCATCCTGACATGGGCATGTACACAATTACGTACAGGTACAACTTGCGTTGTTTATCTGCATCTGGACCAATTCTTCTTCTACACGATCAGCAGCAGCGATGGGGGGTGGCTAGCAAGCGATGCTACACTGCAACAAATGCTCTATTCGGCTGTATCGCGCAAATCTCTTGGCACACGCCATTTAGGTCTGCGTTATAAGTAAATGGCGTGTATTTACCTGACACCCAGGGCTTTAAATGGCTCGATCGCATGTGTGTGGTTTGTGATGCGACATTAGCAGTGGCTAATGCTGCTACTGCTGTTGTGTTGTGTCCAATGAAAAATATGATATGTTGAGTCGTGTTTCGAATGGATGCAGGAAGATACCTGATTTGTGAAAAAGATTGAGTAGATTCGTTAAGCTGCGTGTAGCGATTCGTTGATTAAATGTTTTTTGTTTATTCTGCGTTAAATGAGATGTTATGGTTTGTTTGTATTGAAGTGCGTTACGCAGAGATCATTATTGTTCACTATTCTATTCATCGCCACAACGTCCGGTTCCGGCGAACAACCAAAGCTCTCGGAGAATACAAACTTGGCCAGAGTGTCTTGCTTCCAAACATGCCTACATCTTCTGTGGCAGTTGACAGTACAAGTCACAACCTGAAGAGGGATGACAAGGTTTCATGTCATGTATTAGCTTGAGGCTAAAGTTCGCCAGAGAGATGAATTCAGGCTGTTCAACAGTTTTACTTTCACACCACGGGCATGTTCTGATGCCTGCCAACCAGGCTGAATCCTTTTCCTACTATAACCTAAAAAAGGAGATATAAACATAAATGTCATTATTGAAAAAACTTCTGAAAGGTTTTATTTTCTGTGCGAAGATTTTGGGCCCATATATTAAACTATCCAGCTGACCACCGTCAGAGGGGAAACCTATTTTTAGGAATACTTTTCTAGTTTTTAGCTGCATCTGAAACCCTGCCTCCCCATATTTAGGCCGGAGGCCAGTCCCTGTGCTCCTCAGAGTCCTAGCAGGAGGCCAGTCCCTGTGCTCCTCAGAATCCCAGCAGGAGGCCAGTCCCTGTGCTCCTCAGAGTCCTAGCAGGAGGCCAGTCCCTGTGCTCCTCAGAATCCCAGCAGGAGGCCAGTCCCTGTGCTCCTCAGAGTCCCAGCAGGAGTCCAGTCCCTGTGCTCCTCAGAATCCCAGCAGGAGTCCAGTCCCTGTGCTCCTCAGAATCCCAGCAGGAGGCCAGTCCCTGTGCTCCTCAGAGTCCCAGCAGGAGGCCAGTCCCTGTGCTCCTCAGAGTCCCAGCAGGAGGCCAGTCCCTGTGCTCCTCAGAGTCCCAGCAGGAGGCCAGTCCCTGTGCTCCTCAGAGTCCCAACAGGAGGCCAGTCCCTGTGCTCCTCAGAGTCCCAGCAGGAGTCCAGTCCCTGTGCTCCTCAGAATCCCAGCAGGAGGCCAGTCCCTGTGCTCCTCAGAATCCCAGCAGGAGGCCAGTCCCTGTGCTCCTCAGAATCCCAGCAGGAGACCAGTCCCTGTGCTCCTCAGAATCCCAGCAGGAGGCCAGTCCCTGTGCTCCTCAGAATCCCAGCAGGAGGCCAGTCCCTGTGGTCTTCCAAGTCTGAGTTGGTTCATATTACATGTTATCAAAATTTCGCAGATGTACTTTGGCTTGAGGCCATGGAGAGCTTGTACATGTGCCGAGCTGCTTTAAATTATATTCTCTGAGAGTAGGACTAATGTGATGGTACTTCCTGGAAAATGTTCCAGATTGAAGCGACTTGCTTTCTATCTATGTGAGAGTTCCTGGGGGTTGACCCTGTCTGCCTTTAAAGTCAGCAGACCTGTCTCATTAAATCTGGTGAAACTTTAATGAGACTGTTTTGTCCCAACAGAAAGTTTTGTGAAAATGTTTTGTGTACAAATCAGACCATTATATGCTGTCTTTATCTTATAGGAAAACATTTCATCTTTTACATACAGAGAGCTAATTGGCTGAGTGAGGGTGGTCTGCTCTTTATAGCTTTTGTCAGAAAAGCTTTTCCTGAAGGGAGCCAAAAATACATGCATGTGAAAACTAGATGTAGAACCTTTTTAGAACAGTTTTGAGAGCAATAAGACTAAGATTTATTATAAAGCTGTGCAGCTTTTATGATTTTTCCCTAACTCTGTTCATATTGTGTATAGCCATATTGCCCAACCCTAATGCATTGTGGCACACTACAGAGAGGGGGTTGTGACCAAAACAGCGCTCTGTCCTGACGTCACAGAGACCAGTGCTCACACAGTACTCTAATGCCGCTTTTCCGCAGTCCTAGTACGGTACGTTTTGACTCTACACGGCTCGCCATGGCCCCGTTCGCGTGCTTTTCCATAAAAAATAGTACCCCCTAGTATGTCCTCAGCGTTGTCAGACCACGTCATTTACGTGTGACACGTAACTAGTACATGCATGGATTTATTATAATACCAGAGCAAGTGTTTAATAGAAAACTCAGCACAGCACGAGTAGTTTTTGAAAATGCTTATGTTTTAAAAGAATGACTCAGACACTGTGAAGTCAATGGTGCCGACTGCTCTGTACAATCTGAATGGACCTGTAGCAACAGCAGCCTGTGTAGCAGAGGAGGAGGGCTGCATGTCTGAGGATACTGCTAGGCTATAGCTAATGCTAGCTCGAGATTCAGCTCACTCACTAACCCTGGATTCCAAAGCTACAACTATACTACACTTAACACATATATCACTACCCTGAGAGAAGGATCCAGGGTTTAAACTCGTCATATGGCAACTCGAGCAGTAAAGGACCGAGGGAGAGGCAGCAGCAGCCATAGGGGTAGCGAGTTAGCGGCTAGGCTAAGCTAGGCTAGTCCGGACTCGGGTCCGGACTACAGCAGACTCCGAGACCAGACAAACAATCGATACCCAAACCTCAGTTACAATAATAATAAATTAACACAGATTTATTGAAAACAAAAGTAAAGTGCAAAACCAACAGTTTACAATGTGTGAGACCAGGTCCAGACCAGGTCCAGATGAGAATACTCCGGTCACTCATTACTCGTTGGTAATCGCCACACTTATGGAAAGGGATTCTCAAACAAATATACACACGACAACTTAAATACAAGCACAGAATGTTGTCAAGCACAGAATGACAACACGTGAATACTGCAGATAATACGAGATAAAGCACAGTAGCACAGGGAGGACGTTAGCTTGGCTGCTATCGATAGCTAAATGAAGCTAATTGTAGCTAGCTCACTGTGTACAACAGACAATCGAACATTTACACAGTAAATACATTTCAGTGAGAGCTTTAACGGGATTTGTAGCTAACCAGTTATTGCCAGGATTACCACAGACTAGTCACAAATCCAGAGCTGGTGATCTCCTGAAAACTGTTGAGCCTCGAGCTGTCTTTGAATTCTTTCTTTGGCCTGAAGAGAGGAACGTGTGGACCTCGTCCACCGACCAGGACCTGGACTTTTGGGGCTTTCTGTGCAATTCCATTTCTCTGGAGTGAGGAGGACGTAATGTAGCCGAAGCAGAGCCGAGCAGAGCAGCCGCTTTTAAAGATGGCGGTTGAGTTGTTTTTCCCAAAGGGTCAGATGTCGCTTCCAGTGACGACACTCGTTGACCAATCAGTGTAAGGCAGTGGGCCGACGTGACGTCATGGCACGGCTACTATGGGGATGGAACCACGGCTGAGGCAGTACGGAAAAGTACTCAAATCTCCCATACCATCCACTAGTGGAAACGTAAAATAACCGCGCTGAAGCGTACTGTACTGTACCGTACTGATACTGTGGAAAAGCGGCATAAGCTATTACCACAGCCTACAGCACCAGGGCTCCACACCTTGGGATTATGCACAGTTTATCACTAATTTATAACACACTGCGCACTGGCTCTGCAGCACCCCTCTGACCATTTAATAACCGGCTAAACTCTGCTCCGGGTTGCTCCGAACCATATGTACACTGCTCAAAGCATAGTGCTCAAAGCCTGTATATAGTGCTCAAAGCCTATATAATGTGCTCATATAATGTGTGCTCAAAGCATGTAAATAGTGCTCAAAGCATACATAGTGCTCAAAGCCTATATATTGTGCTGAAAGCATATACAGCCCCCTTGAACCTTTCAACATTTTGCCACATTTCAGGCTTCAAACAGTTGCCAGGCTTTTCAGTTTCAAAAAACTGAAAAGTGGGGCGTGCAATATTATTGGGCCCCTTTACTTTCAGTGCAGCAAACTCAGTCCAGAAGTTCAGTGAGGATCTTTGAATGATCCAATGTTGTCCTAAATGACTGATGATGATAAATAGAATGCACCTGTGTGTAATCAAGTCTCCGTATAAATGCACCTGCTCTTTGATAGTCTCAGGGTTCTGTTTAAAGCGCAGAGAGAACCATGAAGACAAAGCAACACACCAGGCAGGTCCGAGATACTGTTGTGGAGAAGTTTAAAGCCGGATTTGGATACAAAAAAAATTCCCAAGCTTTAAACATCTCAAGGAGCACTGTGCAAGCAATTATATTGAAATGGAAGGAGTATCAGACCACTGCAAATCTACCAAGACCCGGCCGTCCCTCCAAACTTTCATCTCAAACAAGGAGAAGACTGATCAGAGATGCAACCAAGAGGCCCATGATCACTCTGGATGAACAGCAGATAACTACAGCTGAGGTGGGAGAGTCTGTCCATAGGACAACAATCAGTCGTGCACTGCACAAATCTGGCCTTTATGGAAGAGTGGCAAGAAGAAAGCCATTTCTCAAAGATATCCATAAAAATTCTCATTTAAAGTTTTCCACAAGCCACCTGGGAGACACACCAAACATGTGGAAGAAGGTGCTCTGGTCAGATTAAACTAAAATCGAACTTTTTGGCCACAATGCAAAACGATATGTTTGGCGTAAAAGCAACACAGCTCATCACCCTGAACACACCATCCCCACTGTCAAACATGGTGGTGGCAGCATCATGCTTTGGGCCTGCTTTTCTTCAGCAGGGACAGGGAAGATGGCTAAAATTGATGGGAAGATGGATGGAGCCAAATACAGGTCCATTCTGGAAGAAAACCTGTTGGAGTCTGCAAAAGACCTGAGACTGGGACGGAGATTTATCTTCCAACAGGACAATGATCCAAAACATAAAGCCAAATCTACAATGGAATGGTTCACAAATAGACGTATCCAGGTGTTAGAATGGCCAAGCCAAAGTCCAGACCTGAATCCAATCTGTGGAAAGAGCTGAAGACTGCTGTTCACAAACGCTCTCCATCCAACCTCACTGAGCTCCAGCTGTTTTGCAAGGAAGAATGGGCAAGAATTCCAGTCTCTCCATGTGCAAAACTGATAGAGACATACCCCAAGCGACATTGCAGCTGTAATTGCAGCAAAAGGTGGCGCTACAAAGTATTAGCGCAAGGGGCCGAATAATATTGCACGCCCCACTTTTCAGTTTATTTGTTAAAAAAGTTTAAATTTTGTTCCACTTCACGATTGTGTCCCACTTGTTGATTCTTTTTTTTTTTTTTTTATTGTTTGAATTTTGTATGTTTGAAGCCTGAAAGTGGCGAAATGTTGAAAGGTTCAAGGGGGAAAATACTTTCGCAAGGGTTAGGGTTAACCCTAACCCACTGTATAATGCGTGCGCAAAGCATAAATAATGTGCTCAAAGCATATATATAGTGCTCAAAGCCTATACAGTATATAGTGCCAAAGCATATATATTTTTCCCACTGGGTTTTTTAAGAGTTTTTCCTTGTGGATGCAGGAGGGTCTTGTTGGACAGTTAGTGTCCAACAGAAAGGATTGGTGATGATCAGGACACTTTAGCATTCTACAACATGTATGGACATTTTCTTCTGTGTGTGCTTTATATTCTTCATGTGTTTTAACTGTTGATTCTCTGACCTGTGTTGGTGATTTCAATGGTTTTGTTAAGTCTCTGAGATGACTTCTGTTGTGACCTAGGGCTATACAAGAATACATTGTATTGTATTGTATATATAGTGCTTAAAGTAGGAGTGCTCAATACGTTTATAATACGCTTTTGATGTGTACATTTGGACTAAACATCAGCAATAGCAGCTCACACACCTGTGTCTCGCTACTCCTCCCCCTCCTCCACTCCCACACAGGAGTCGCTGCTCCTCCTCCTCACACACAGAAGACGCTAGCGTCCATCTCTCCATAAACAGCGCTCATTCCCATCTGTAACTCACTCGGATTTAGACATCGCTAAAGTTGTTTAGACAGCTCCGTAAAGTTTTCTCAGAAGGACCCCAATGCGCACATAGCCGCCCTTGCGCCTGCCTACTTCTTAATTTATGCGTTAAAGTCCCGGCCCTAATCTATCTACATATATGATATAATCAGTACAGACCAAAAGTTTGGACACACTTTCTCATTCAATGAGTTTCCTTTCTTTCCATGACTATTGACTGTAGATTCACACCCAGGCTGTGTAAGGGCTATTTGACCAATAAGGAGAGTGATGGATGCTGGGCCAGATGACCTGGCCTCCACAGTCACCGGACCTGAACCGAATCCAGATGATTTTGGGGCTGGACCACAGAGTTAAGGCGAACGGGCCAACAAGTGCTAAGCATCTCTAGGAACTCTTTCAAGACTGTTGGAAGACCATTTCAGGTCACTACCTCTTGAAGCTCATCAAAAGAATGCCAAGAGTGTGCGAAGCAGTAATCATAGCAAAAGGTGCTACTTTGAGGAACCCAGAAGACATATTTTCAGTTGTTTCATACTTTTTTTTTTAGGTACGTACATAATTCCACATGAGTTAATTCATAGTTTTGAGGCCTTCAGTGTGAATCTATTATTTTGATATTCATGAAGATAAAAAAAACTCTTGAGATGGGTGGGTGTGTCCAAACTTTTGGTCTGTACTGTATATATTAGTGACAAGTTATATACTGTACATATAGGGCAGGATTATAAGTAGGTAAGATGACATTCAGTAGATTCACAATGCACATGATTGCAGCATTTACTTATTTACAGATGAATGACTTTTACAGGCACAGCAGCTTTCAACCTTTCCTTCACACAGCTAGGATGAATATATCTGTCCCTGAAACTTCTCTCCAGAGCAGACAGTTCCCTGCAGGGGGTGACAATCAAGGTCTGGCATAGATGTTAGTTTGTCTAGGACCCTCCTTTACCCCACCTGCTGCAATGTGTCCAAGTAACAGCTGAGGACAGAGCTGGACTTCCTGATGACCTTGTCCAGCTTCTTCCTGTCCCTCTCTGTGATGCTGCTGCTCCAGTAGACCACACCGTACAAGATGGCCACCACAAAGTCATAGAAGGTCTTCAGGAGTGGCCCATGCACTCCAAAAGACTCAAGCCTCCTCAGCAGGTAGTCGGCTCTAGCCCTTCTTGAAGAGGGCGTCTGTGTTATGAGTCCAGTCCAGTTTGTGGTGCAGATGAACACCCAGGTACTTGTAGCCCAAAATGCAGTTTTTTAGTTTAAGTTGAGATAAGATGGACTTTATTGATCTCACGCAGGAGAAATGTATCCGATGTCGGTAGTGTTGTAGTTTTGATTGTAACGGTGTGGCTTCTTTCTGCTGTGATGCTGATACTTATCTTGTGTGCACAGGAGATCAAACCCCAGCCTCACTATAACCATGGCTACAGCGATTCCACAAGCCGCAAGAACCATGTGGACGACTACAGCACCTGGGACATTGTCAAGGCAACGCAGTGAGTGCACACACCACATCAAATACTATTCCACAGTCAGGCTGGAAGATATGAAGCCCTTGGACTGCCACCGTAACGTGGTGGTGGAGTTTGAGTTCTCAGTTGATCCTGGGAGCTATGTTGTCTGGGACTTGTTAAGATGAGATAAGGATGATTAGTGGAAACAGGATGCACCTGGGCTCAATTTTGAGCTTCATGGCAAGGGCTGCGAATACTTATGTACACAGCGGTGGCTGAGTGGATAGCACTCTCGCCTCACAGCAAGAAGGTCCTGGGTTCGAATCCCGGCCGGACCAGGGCCTTTCTGAGTGGAGTTTGCATGTTCTCCCTGTGTCTGCGTAGGTTTCCTCCGGGTACTCCGGTTTCCCCTACCACTAAAAACATGCACAATAGTTCTGGCATGCGCCTCCTGTTCGGCGACCCCGCTCCCATCTCTGTGTGGAGTGAGAGACAAATGCCCAAAAATAATAACAATTGTAAACCGCTTTGAGACTCTGGTCTGTGAAAGGCGGTATATAAATAAAGATTACTTACTTACTTACATGTGATTTATTGTTTGTTTTCATTATGGGGTTTTATCATGGATCTATAATAATAACTAGATGATATTACTGGCTTATAGCTGTCCCACCCATGGGCCCAGGGGGCGCCTGTGGTACTGCAGACTAAATTCACATGGGCTACCCAGAAAAATGTCCCATAGAACTCAATGTAAACTAAAACAGCTCGACCTCAGCTGACAGAGAATCTACAGCTTTCATAAAGGTCGGATTTTATGGGGATTTTAGTGTCCCTTGTTTCTTTAAATCCACACTTTACTGCCACAACTCTGCTTCTTTCCTTCCCGCTCTGACTCCGCTCTGACTCCGCTCCTCAGCAGCTCTGATTGGTCAGAGCACGGCCGAGCCCCTCTGCACGTGCATGAGAGCCACACATGCGTATTTGGCACAACGCATCATGGGAGCTCGTCCACTGCGCAGAACCGGGAGGACCAGACGATGCCCAAATATAGGCGAGTTCTGCTAATCTCCCGGTCCCCGTGAAGTCCCATGTGCTACTGAGCACAAGCCATTCATTTGAATAGGGTGCCATCTTGGATCACCCGGGCTTGGGTTTTAAGTGTAGAATTTTAGGGGAAAAAAAATAAATGAATCCATTTTGGAATAAGGCTGTGACATAACAAAATGTGAAAAAATTGAAGCGCTGTGAATACTTTCCGGATGCACTGTATGCCCTGAGGGCTGTTGTCCCCTCCTTTGGTCATGATTTTAGCAGGTTGTACCCTACACAGTGGGCCTGCGCGGCAACTTCAGCAGACTCAGGCGGCAGAAAGGCTCACAGTGCCTTCACTGCGGGTGTGTATTATTTATTATTATGGCATTGGCAAAGAAAGCAAACTTGGAGCATCGTTTTCGAACAGTACACGTGAGCAAGGAGGGAAAAACGGCACTGCGCGCCACCAAAGTGAGGACTTGAAAGGCCAGCTTTCTTCACAAAATCCCTCTCCTCGCTTGTGTGTCCCGTAGAGCTGCAACTAACGATTATTTTGTAATCGATTAATCTATCGATTATTTTTACAATTAATCGAGTAATCGCTTGGCTGTGAATTGTTTAGAAAAAATTTTTTTTCATCACAAAAAGCTAAAGTGGCAACACTCGAGGACGTATTGAGGCGTAAACTTAAAGTAAATGTTTGTAACAGGCTCTTTGTGCTAATTCTGCTCTGATTGGATGAGACAGATATTCATGAAATTATAAAAACAAAGTCGGTTTTAATCAAAAATACTACATTTTCATGTCATTTTTGCTCTGTTTGAGTCCGTGTGAACCAGAAAACGATTAATCGATTACTAAAATAAATGTCAACTATTTCAATAATCGATTAGTCGTCGATTAATCGATTAGTTGTTTCAGCCCTAGTGTCCCGTTCGGAAATGACGCTCCGGGTTAGCTTTTTTTACCATTGCCACTGTTGCATTGCAGATCAGACAAATAGGCTTTGAGGATGAAAAGGATAAGATTTGGCTCGTTTCCCCTCAGCCATGCTAAAGTTCCACAGCGATTCAACAGCTCCGATCTGGCTAACGACCTCCTACACGCCGGACTATGAGAAACTAGCCTCCTCCCACTGTCAAGTCTCTCACTATGTTAGGAAGAGATCTTCCTTTTGTCAATTATATTTATTTACTCCTGTCCACCAAAGCAGGGGTTTTATGTTTGATTAGTCAGTGGTGCACTGCTTTTGGATGTCTGATTCATAGAATTGTAGTTACACACGTAACATTTCTAATACCTGATTTTTAACTGGTTCATTTTTCTGCTTGGTTCATAATATGGTCAGTTAGTTAGCTATTGCTGAAAATGCAGATTGTGTTTGTTTTTGTGTAAGATTGTGAGGAGCAAAGAGTTCAAAATAAAAACAGAATGTACAGTACAGACCAAAAGTTTGGACACACTTTCTCATTCAACGAGTGTCCTTTTTTTTCATGACTATTGACTGTAGATTCACACCCAGATTGTGTAAGGGCTGTTTGTCCAATAAGGAGAGTGGTGGGGTTCTGGGCCAGATGACCCAGCCTCCAGTCACCGGACCTGAACCCAATCCAAAAAAACAAAAACAGTTTAATCTAAATCCCCATGGAGCATAAGTGTAACACAAGCCCCGGCAATCCAAGATGGCGCCCTATTCAAATGAATGGTTGTGCTCAGTGGTGCTTTGTGACGGCATGGGGGCTGAAAGATTAGCGGAAGTCGCCTGGAACTCGCAAAGATCTATGGGAACCTCTCAAAGATTTATGGGAAAGTCGCCTGTATTTGGGCATTGTCTGGTCCTCCCGGTTCTGTGCAGTGGATGATCTCCCATAATGCGTTGCGCCAAACACGCGTGTGTGGGTCTCACACCGGGTCTCACGCACGTGCACAGAGGGTCTCATGCACGTGCACAGAGGGGCTCGGCCGCGCTCTGACCAATCAGAGCAGTTCATCAGAGCGGGAGTTAGAGCGAGAGCCAGACGAGCAGAGTTTGTGGCACTAAAGTGTGGATTTAAACAAAACCGAAGGATTTAAGAAGAAAAAAAGTTCAGGATGACAAGGGACACTAAAATCCCCACAAAATCCGACCTTTATTAAAGCTGTAGGTTCTCTGTCAGGTTCTCTGTCAGCTGAGGCTGAGCTGTTTTAATATGCATTGAGTCCTATGGGGAAAATTTCTGGGTAGCCCATGTGAATTTAGTCTGGTTTAGTCTGCAGTACCGCAAGAATCCCCCGAGAACATGAGTTATTCAGCTACAAGCTAATAATACACCATGGATCTATTATAATAACTGGATAGGGTAACAGGAAATAAGCCTTAAAACATGCTTGTAAACGAGATGGTCCTGCCATTGTAAACAGAGATAACGGTTATCCAATACCTTCACTTACAGTGACACAATGCACCTTCAAAATAACTTAAATCGCACAAACGAGGGCCATAGCAAATATATCAATCGTATTAAACACATGCATTATTTACATGAAATCACATTTTTAAAACTGATTACTCAATATACAAATGTTATAACAGAGAAAGTCTTTTACAAAAGCCTCCTACTTGGGTTTTATGCTTGTTCTTTCAACTGTGCCTGAGTAACTGTGCTGTAGTACAACGCTCGGTCCAGCTGGTGGCGCTAATACTAACTTCAGTGACTCCAGCGTTGTGCGACTTAAGTTTCCTGTTTACGTTCTGCAACTGTAGCTAACAGATAGAGCGGGGAAAACATTGTTTGTATCAGAGCAATGAGAGCAATGTGTGAGACGTGTCTTTCCCAAAAGTACAGCGGCTATGGCGCCAGATTTACGGCAAAAGTCCACACGCGTCATTAAAACATACACGCGCAGCTTTATGTAATTCACACACGCGTAAACTACTCTCCACGCGCACATTTCACACCACACGCGTGCAGATTCAGTACCACGAGCAACAATACGCGCGTGTATGGGCTCGTGACTTGCCTTCTCCCTTCTTGTGGTCTGTGTTCTGTGCGCGTTAAACTTTTGCCATCTCTTCTACGCGCGCCTGAAATACTTTTGTCGCTTGGGGGCGGGGCCAGTGAAAGCTAAACAACCCACTGCAGCTTGGAGATGGAATGCATATGCATGGAAAGCGTATGATTAATCCATAAACTGTTTAGATTAACCCTAACTGGGCTGGCTATTGTAGTCTTTAACGTGGTATGTACACTCTTGTGGACACCATATAGGCTTACACCAGGACGTGTTTAGTTCGTAAATGTTTAATATTCTCTCCTAATAACCTCATTAGCCTATGTTGCCGCAAGGCTAGCCAGCTACATCCCGGGGCCTTCGTCATCGCTGTACGTTGTTTACACTGAATGCTTTGTCAGAATCATGTCACGACCGTTATCAAAGTTTTATAAAACCGTCTGAGTTATTTGTTTGCTTTTTATTTGCATAATTATAGCGGTTTGACCTAATGAGTCTATGCTAGCTAGCAATAAATCGGTCAGTCCATAAAAACCGCATATCAAAAATGTGTACATAAACCTTTTAAACAAATGAGCTAACTATCTGAATTGTTAAAATTGTTAAATAGTAGTAGTATTAGATTTCATGTATTTTTATTAAAATGATCTTAAAATTGGGGCTAAGCTGTTTCAACCTGTCATAATTGGCTTCTGTACCTGTACTGTTTTTGCTAGTTTAGGATGGCTATCATCCCTACACACTACACAGAACCCCTGAATAGTTCTGATTGTGCAGGTTATCTTCATAAATTGGTCCTCTGCGATGGGCACCAGTTCCTGATCCACACACACTGCAGACCAGCAAGATGTAAAACATCATTTGGTCAGACTTTGTTTGCTGTTAAAGAGCCACAGCTCTGGAACATTTTACCTGCCAAACTGAAATCTCTAATATTTTTATGACTTAGCGACCAGGTCTGCCAATTAGCTGTTTGCTATACAGCCTATGAACATGGTATTGGTTACCTGTAACAA